GGGGGGATTTACCGCTCACCTCGGCCGACCTTTCATCCTCTGACAACGGAGCTCTCTCCTCTTTCTCTGGAGGCCCCTGGAGGAGGGACGACGTGACGACTTTTGTCCGGGGGCGCTTCGGGATCGAGACACGACATGCTTGAATAGGCGAGTCCGGATGCTCGGCGGATCAGGGGCTCGGATCATGCTCGTCCCACAATACATGTAGGCAGTTCCGTCAAATTGGGTCCAAGGAAGACGCAAGAAAGAAAGCGAGAGAGGGAATAGCTTCCTTGGAGTCTCCGTAGAGTACCATGTCCATTGCACCCCGGATCATATCGACGCGCACTTCGCCTATTCTTGCCTTGCCTTTCTTGATAATGGCATTGTTCACCACGGTGAATCGGGTCGCAGGGTTACAGGTGAGTTTGGAAAGCGTAGCTCAGAGTCAGGTGAAGAGGGGGTCAACAGAGGCCCCGGACATGATCGGAGTGATATTGGCTCCCTACGCGGGGCTTCTGTGGTCTCTGCTGGATAGTCAGGTTGTCTTGGAAAGGGTGTTGTTTGTTGGGCTTTAGCTTTGGGCTCCTGGAGTATGTCGTAGATGTTGTCTCGCAGCGGCGACGCCTGGAGGCTTGGGTGAGTCCGTATGTGCCGGTCCGAGCCCGATACGACTGCGTCTGTGGCGGAAGTTGAATCAAGGCAATATCTGTGGACGTTTCTCTTGGTTGGTGTCTGTTGATTTTTGAGGTCATTGTCGTCTGATAAGGGAAGAGCTAGGCTTGATGTTGAAATCGCCGTGAATATCCAAAGGGATTTGGTGTTGCCTTGCATCGCGTAGTAGATGAAGACGTTGCTTACTTACTTCGTCGAGGGAACAATCACCTCGTGGCCCCTATTTGCAATTTTCTCCTGACCTTGAAGTGAAATTCCAAGTAGTTCATAGATTTTTTACTTGATTTCACTCATTACTGAAAGATATGTTGGCTTTTGAGATTCGACGATGTCACCTGCCAGGGAGTTTTGAGGAATAAAGATGACGTTAAATGACCTTCTAGGTTTATCAGAATCCGCTTTCTAATTTCCTCTTCTCGTTTGAAATACTCTTATCCCTCGATAAACGCAATTATATTGCACAGGATTGATGTTCATCTCAAATCTTGATCCATCTCCACCTCGATGATCATAATAGAGCGATCGCTACCGTTTCCAATCATCCAAGTTTTCCTCAGCTTCCACGTTGAAGGTTCCAAGTCACTTCAAAGTTCGTCCTTCACAGCTCTTTGCGTACGGTCATGACTCTTAGCCTTGAAGCCATCTCCAGGTTGCGCGATTCTCCGTAAACGGAATACCTTGGCCGCATGGCTGGGCACCGAAGCCTTCAACACACCTCTGGCCTCGACTTCGCCAATCTTTTGGCCAAACAGCCTCGGGTCCTCCTTCTCCAGACCGAGGGCATAAGGCGTCTCGGTAGCATTATACCATTCGGCATCCCGTAGAATCTTGGCCCGCGCGTCGTGGCTCTCGGCTGCGAATAACGACTCTGCCGTCTCCGTAGGCATCCTATCGGCCCAGAGATCGTGAACAGCCCATTTAGACTTGACCTGCGGCGCCGAGCCACCAGGCCCATCTGCCACGAAGATCTCCGCGAGCGAGGACTTCATTTCAATATCCGCGCCGGCGGCGTTGAGCAAGATGACGACCTGGTCTCCGTTCTCCAACCGCCCACTCCAGACCTGTGCTTCGGCAACGCCAAACTCGTCCGGAACCAGATCCCCTCCGACATCCCTCCTCACCCTCAACGCGCTGCGGCCGTGAGGATCCTGACTGATGGCGATGATGGCCGGGTTGTTGACAATACTTAGCGCCTCGGCGGGCATATCCCGCAGATCGTTGCCGAGCATCAGCGGCGACTTGAGGGCGGCCCAGAGGGCGAAATGCGCCTTGTACTCCTCGTCCGTCATGCCGCCCTGGCCGACCTCGAGCATGTCGAGGTCGTTCCAGCCGCCGGGGATGCCGCGGTCGGCGAAGGTGGCGACGCGGTTAATGATGAAGAGGACGGAGCAGTGGGTTCCTGGCGCGACGCAGAAGGGGTCCGAGGCCTGGTTGCAACTGCAGAGGTCGTCGGGACGGGTGAAGGCGTCGTAGATGTCGCCTGACATGCGCCATGCGTTTGAGATGGACATTCCCCACTGCTAGAGTGTTAGTAAAACAAATACAGAAGTCATAGACATGTGATGGTAGCGAACTGTGTGAACGTAGTCTTCGCCCCAGTTGCAGAGACTTAGGGCGATGGGGCGGCCCGTTGCGTTGAGGGCATCAGCCATGACTTTGAACCTGTTGAAGGAGATTTGCGGTGTTCCCATGCGGCCCATATGGTAGCAATTGTCGTATTTGAGAAAGTCGACGCCCCATGACGCGAAGCTCTGAGCATCGTCGTGTTCATGATCGAGAGAGCCCGCTGCCCTGCGTCAGTATTGTTCATCAAGGCACCATCGTGATAGAAGTGAAAATGAGATACTCACCAAATCTGGCACAAGTCATCTCGCCAGCACTCGAGTACATGCCATATTTGAGTCCCTGGCTGTGAAGATGGTCTGAGACGTATTTCAGCCCGTTAGGAAACTTTGCGAGATTTGGCTGGAGCTTTCCCTTGGCATCGCGACCATTCTCATCTTGCCAGCAGTCATCCAGTACTACGTGATTGTAGCCCAGATCACGGAGGCCCAGACTGACGACACGCTCTGATGTGCCCAGGAGGAGGTCTTCAGAGACGTCGCATGCGAAGGCATTCCAGTTGTTCTGATGACTGTAAGCTGAAGTCAACACTTCCGAGCAGGTTCTTGTAACTTACCCAGCCCATCGGAGGTGTATCGGCCAGTCCATTGCTGAGAGCGGCAACTCGTCCAGCGGTTGCGATCGCGGCCGCAAGACTGAGCGATTTATATGACATCTTGTATTCAAAGTTCGGACGGCAGAACCGAAAACCGTCTCTACCTCACTCTCAAGACTTTGATAGGAGCGACGAGAACTCAATGTCGGCACCTTCTTATACAGATCATAGCATGGAGAAAAGTGGCATCGTAGATCCATTCAACCCCGCCATCGTGGCCATCGCACGTTCGTTCCCATGCGTCGCTCTCCGACTTACATGATGCCCGTTCCCGCTGCCAAAGTGAGGGGCTTAGAGGGGTCGACATCAGACGGTGAGGTCAAGCCAAGACGAACAAGGGGCGGAAAAGTCGTCGAGTTTCCCGCCTCTTCTCCGCAGTGTTGCAGCAACGACCCTCCCGAGTCATGCAGGCGCACCCGTCAGCCAACCGGCCTGGACGCCGATGGGACGAAAATCACCGGCCGGAGAGGAGACATCATCGGAGGCCAAGACGTACCCCGCTATTGGGCAGAAGATGTGTTGGTTGAACGGTGTATTTCTCGGAGTCAGAACATCGCGACTTACCCCTGTCACGAAGATGAGCCGCTTCGCGAGTTGCTTTGCCTGTCACATGTTGCAGCAAACATACTATTCAAGTCCACTGCACTGACATAATTGTCTCCATCACCGGGCCAAGAGTCCGGAAGCGGTTCCCCAGCTACGCTACACAGGTCCGGCTCCCCTCACCGGGGGCCCGTCCATCCACAATGACTCCATCGTCTCCCCGTCTCCGCGTTCCTTTTCTTCCATTGGCTCCGCGAACTCAACCAGGAACCTCAACATCCAACGGTCCAGAACGAAACTCGTGTCGATGCTCGTACGTGCGGTCTGATGGAATGCTCTTAGACGGCTGATGGCCCGGTCAGTAGTAGGCCAGTAACACCGTAGCTGCATCAGCAACTCGAAATTTCTCTCCAGGCGCCTCCGAGCCACACTGATATCCGCTTCGTCACCACTGAACAAGAGTGTGTGAATCTGTACCGTCGACGCAATGACGAGTACATGCGCCGTCATCGTGTACCGCACGTCCGACCCGGCTGTTGTCTGGGCGCGGTAGACCATGTCACATAACCGAGCCGCGTGTTCCTTGCAGCGCTTCGCGTACGAGTCCCTCCTTGCGACAGAGGCTGAGGCAGTGGGGTTGATGGCTGTCGTCGTCGCCGCGCCGTAGAGAAACTGGTAATACAAGAGCTGGCCAAAGTGGTAGTAGCCTAGGTAAACGGCCGCAAATGTCCGGCCCTGGCCCCGGGCCGCAAACCAGGCAAAGTTTTCCGGGGTATCACGCATATTCGTCGGGAGTGCGGCGAGCCAGTCTTCCATTCTTATGCTTAGAGACTCAACGCCCTCCTCGAGGACATCCCAGGTAGGATTATCCGCAACGCAACGCTGGTTAAAGTCGTTGACATCCAACAGGATCCTGTTGAGTCTCACCATCTGCGAGAGGAGTTGAGAGCTTTGAGCGGCCGATGCCGTACCCGTTACTCCGGATCCGCTGCGGCTCAACGAGAGAAACGGTAGATCGTCCATCGGCAAGGGGATATCGGATCTCGCCGGGAGCAGCTTGGGTAACTTCACCGCAGTGGAGGACCACACGTCGATCATGCAGAGCGACCACCAGACTGGGAACCGACCTGTCAGCTTTGAGTTCGTGCCTTGCATAACACAGTTACAGATGAACGTGGCCAACGGGTAAACAATGGGAAATGGAGGCTCAATCATACCCCGTATGTTGATCTCTCGTTCCAAGAGACTGGTAGCCGGTCTTCCTGGCAGGTCCAGCAGCTGCGCCATGCGGCATGCGACGCCGTAGTAGATGTTTTCTGATTCTCCATCGCCATTGGCAGTCAATGCTGCCCCTATCAACACGCAGAGTTGTATCGTTGGGAGAGATACATCACGTAGGTTTAGAAGTGCCTCGGCAGCTCGTATGTAAGCATGGCTTCTGTCTCGAGGGTCAACATCTGCAAACTCCGGGTCGGTTGAGAATCTACGGTATCATTAGAGTTGTGGTTTATCCCATCTCATCGGATCCACTTGTCCTGCCTGGCAGCATACGAAAAGACGCACCTCGCAGATAGCGCGCAGATACCAAAAAGGATGCTGTGGTGCACTCGGTCGCCGAGTGCATCCTCAATGAAACTCGGCCGATGGAAGAGGGAATGGAACTGGTCATGGATGTAGTCAAAGTAGAGTCTGACGAGGTCCAGCCGGACCGGCAGACTGGGCAGTGCGGCGGCGGCATGTGAAGTGGTCTCGCAACGGGTGCACCAGCCACCACTTTGAGATGCAGACGATGCACTTTCGGCTGCTGCGCTGTGACTACTTTGCTGATGTACGGATAGGTTCCGCTCTTCTACCAGGCGTTCTTTACGCTGATTCTCTCGTTGCTCATAGTAGCCTCCCTCGGGCGGTCTTTGATCGCATTTGATGCCCCTCTCGTCGCAGTAAACGCAGTCAATGAGGCCCTCGCGAGTTTGACACTTACGCCTGCGGGCCCTAGGATATTTCTCGTCAGATCACAAGACGGCATGAAAGTGGCATGAAAGGTCCAAAATGGGACGAGTATGTTACCGGCACGCAGCACAAGCCGAGGGTTTCCGCATGCCAGCGGGGCTGGGAATCCCCTCGGACTGAACACCGCCCTTTGGTTGCGTATATGTCGTGGTCTTGTCCGCAGCAAGAAAAGGAAGCAAAGAAGAGGGGGCGATTGCAAGCAGCAACTGCAAGAAGCGCAATACTCCGTCAGGAATTCCGATTTCTTCCAAAGATGACTAGGGGTGTATCCCACCACGCGGTGGTTACCCGGCCGAGTTGGTTCGACCGGGACTCAAGAGACTCAAGAACCCCCCTCCCCTGCCGGGCGGTCTACCACGGATCGGGAAAAGGCGGCGGGAAACGTGCGGAAAAGTCGCTCAAACCTTGCCCTGGACATCTGATCGGTGACACCCACAAGCCGTTGGACGAATGATCGCATCGCTTTGCTTCCCCAAAAGTCTCGACCGACCCGTTGCTCCCAACCCCAGAGAATTCCCCATGGGACCCTCATATGATACCGCAGACTTTGAACTTGTTGTACGACGTTGGCACGTTGGTTCCTCGAAACGTCTGATTGCCAATGTTGTCCCCTTCATCTTCATGGGGTTCTCCGCATTGCCTCGGCATTAAAGTGAAAGTGGTCGGATTAATCTGATGTTGGGATTGGTCTTTCAGAGTTTGGCACTCTCAGAGTCGCCAAGTCCCTCAAGTCGTCCCGTGGTAATGGTAGGTTGCAAACGGCTTCCCCGCCTTCACTTTCTATAAATGCGACCCTGTGTTCCCATGTTGTGGATGGTTCTGTGAATAACCTCATTCGTAGTCGCCTAGGCTTCAGGTGCTCTCTTGCAAGAGTCTTCAGCATGGCTCAGACAAAGACTGTGGGCGCCGAAGCGGTGCCAACCGTCAGCCACCATAATGACAACAACCCTGGTGAGGCCATCACGGCCATGCAGAACGAGCGCCAGATGAGCGTGAGGGACTCGTTTCGCTTCTGGCCGAAAGCGATTCTCTTTTCCTTCATCATCTCTCTAGCCATTATCATGGAGGTATGAGAATCTTGGAGTAGTTCAAAGCAAGAGCGCGACTGACTTCTTCAAGGGCTATGATACCAACCTCATGAGTAACTTTTACGCCTTTCCGGCTTTTATGAAACGGTACGGCGACCAAGTCGATGCCAATGGCGACCCTCTAGTCTCGGCTCGCTGGCAAACCATCATCAACAACGGCACCCAGGCGGGCTCAATCCTTGGTCTCATCCTCAATGGCATCATCACCGAGTGGATTGGCTACAAGAAAACCATGATTGTCGCCATGGTTGCCATGATCGGGGCCGTGTTCATCCCCTTCTTCTCCAACGGTCTCCCAATGTTCTTGGCCGGAGCCTTGATTCAGGGCATCCCCTGGGGTATCTTCCAAACCCTCGCCGTTACCTACGCGGCTGATATCTGCCCCATGTCACTTAGAGGTTAGTTGTCTGTCTGAGCACATCTGGCTATACTCACCTATTAACTTTAATGGCAGGATACATGACGTCTTGGGTGTATGTTTGATGGAACCCTCTTCCCACGGAGTCTGTCAGCATTGCTAACAAAGACCTCTAGAAACATGTGCTGGGTCATCGGCCAGCTGATCAGCAGTGGCATGCTTCGAGGGCTTTTGCAAATCGACAATCAATGGGGATACCGCATTCGTAAGACAACCCAATTGACCTTACCGTTATGAGAAATCATTGACTCGAACTCATCGCAGCATTTGCGATCCAATGGGTCTGGCCCGTACCCATCATCATCGGCACGCTCTTCGCCCCCGAAAGCCCATGGTGGCTTGTCCGCCAAAACCGCCTCGAGGACGCGCGCGAAGCAGTCCGCAAGCTTACCTCTCCAAAGAGGGACATTGACTTTGACCTCGACGCCCACATCGAGATGATGCGTGTGACGAACCAGTTTGAGATCGAGGTCAGTTCGGGCGCTCACTACTGGGACTGCTTCCGCGGTGTCGACCTTCGCCGCACCGAAATTGCGTGCATGGTATGGCTGACGCAGTCCTTCTGCGGCGTGCCGTTCATGGGCTACGGCACGCAGTTCATGATCAACGCCGGCCTCAGTTCCGAGAATGGGTTCACGATGAGTTTGGTGCAGAACTGCATCGGTCTCATTGGTTGTATCATTGCCTGGTACATCATGACTCACATCGGCCGTCGCACTCTGTACCTGGCTGGTCTATCGGCCATGTTTGTGATTCTTGTCGTCATCGGTGGCATCGGTATTCCGCAGGACGCTGCTGGGTTACCAGCGCGGTCATGGGCCGTGGGAGCCCTCATCATCGTGATGCTCTTCTCCTTCCAGCTCAGCGTCGGTCCCTCATGCTATACCTTGGTCGCGGAGATGCCATCTACCCGTCTTCGTGTCAAGACAGTCGCCCTTTCTCGCGCCTTTTACAATTGCGGAGGCTTCATCGTCAACGCGCTGCAGCCAAAGATTGTGGGCAAGAATGACTGGAACTGGGGAGCCAGAGGCGGCTTCTTCTGGGCCGGCATCACTGTGCTTTTCCTTACGTGGACCTTTTTCCGTCTTCCGGAGCCCTTTGGTCTTACATACTCGGAGATTGACTTGCTCTTTGAGCACCGTGTTGGCGCTCGTCACTTTTCGCAAGAGGCGGCTGACTCTCTACGCCCGCAGCTGGAAGAGGTCGCCAACCGTCATGAGAAACTGGCTGCTACGGTGAGCCATCAGGAGGCATAGTCGAATGAGAACTTTGATCACGCTTAATGAACTTAGGTCTTTTGGGCAGGAGCAAATCCTGCCAAGTATTGTTCAGTAAAGAGGCTTAATCAACATTGCTCCAGTCTAATCGATTATTTCTACTAAATCAAATCTCTCATCGTAGCCCACTTTCATGCATGATGTAAAAGTATCTTCGTAAGAAATCATAGTCTGCTTCCTGCTATCCACTGACGTGCCATCCCAGGTTATAGTAAGACGGACCCCAGGATAGTTGCACCAATTCATTGTACCACTATGTGCGCACTTTGTCAAAATCTTTGCACCACAAAGCTTCCAATATATCATAGTAGGATCTGAGGCGTCCTCCAAGGCCCTACAAAGTTGGCCATGCTCAATGAAGACAGCTTAAGGAGCCAGGCTGATGCAGCCGTTGGTGCTGTCCTCCTGGAAGATGCCGCTGTAGACAATGCCCTCATCGATGCCGTCCGGCTGAAAACCATTCTTGGTGATATCGCCCTGACCTCCGACGGGCTTCTTCAAAATACCAAAGTGGTATTGACCTTGACCCTTGATATCGTTGATCTGGGGTTCCCCCTGTGCCTCCAAGTCGTTGTTATCGGTCGAGTAGAATACCTGGACCGTGCTGAACGAAGTGTTAGTATCCTATAACGCACTTCAGGCTCAGAAAGGACTCACTTTGCGGTGAAATCCATGGTCACAGCAAAGTTATGAATGGTGTTCTCCGCGAAGGGAGTGCTGAATAGAACAGTAGGTGCCGGCTTGGTGTTGACATTGCCAAAGAGTTGCAGTGTATCTGGGTCGACCGTTGCGTCGCCGCCGAGGATGGTGCCGGTCTTGAGCACAACTTGATTTGTGCTGAAATCATTACTCTCCAGGAAAGCTAGCTGATACTCGTGCGAGAGATTAAGGGGACGCTGGACATCTTTCGAGAGACTGAAATGCAACGTCTTGATGCCAGTCGTCGACTCATCCGTTCCCGTGTTGGATGATGGGATGAGCTCAGCGCGACGGAAAGCTGTCTGCTTGTTGAAGATTGACTGATCGCTAGTATAGCCGTTAGCTGAACATACCTATGATGATCCGCTGGGGCTGAAGCTGACCTGATTGTGACTTCAAGGGGAACGTTGTCGTTGCCGTCGAATGGCGAGCTGGCTTCATTAGGCAATTGCAACACTTTACTGAAGCTCAAGCCAGCTCCAAAGACATTCTGAGGACTGAAGAGATTGTTCTCAGCATCGAACGCTTCTGACTCGGTTCCGGTTGCAACTCTGCCGTCAAATTGCAGAGTACATTGCTGAGCCACTGCCACTGAGGCAAACGAGAGAAGAGTGAATGACTTGTAGTACTGCATGATGGAGAAGTGACGTTGGACCAGCCTAGATCGAAAGAGTGAACCGATAGATTTACAATGGAAAGAAACGAGCTGACATTGAGCAATTAAGAATAACACCATGAGATCGCGACGTGCAAAATTCAGAGCGGCACGAGGACAGCCTTTAAGTAAGTTATTCAACCACTCACTTGCTGGCTAGTGTCTCCGGCCCGGAGGGACCATGAGATACACCGATCGCCGGCGATTCATGCGCTCGTGCCAAGAGTTTGGAACGTGTTCGTCGTGTCTTTGGATTCGACATCAAGCGAGCTGAGGCCTGTCAGACCCTCATCCAGGTCCCGTTCTGATTTCAAACAAGACACGGCAACTAAAAGAAGGTCCAGACTGAGGAAGGTTTCTCTCTCAGGCCGGTGTGATCGGGGAGGACACGGGCGGAGTTTCTAGTATTAAGGTTAGGTTGACGTGAATGGCAGTTGGCTGAGGCTCAATGGGCGGATGTGAAGGCGCCTGTCAGGACTATCGCAAGGGTGCGCGCCGGGGTGATGGAGATCAAACGGAGCCGTCTCAGTGACGATACATACAACGCTGGCATCTCCCTCAACGTCTCGTGATATTCACGGAGCGGAAATATCAGATGGATGAAGCCGGCAGCTGTCGGCAATATGAGATGAGAGCGGGATCCTTGCGCAATTGACTGTGTACCTTGTTCATAATGCGCGTGTGTTGATAGTGCGTACCGTGCTCCTGCCGGCTTCGTCTCATGTATTTACATGACGCTCAATCCAACGGCTTAAGCACATTGCCGGTGAGATGTCATTTCCCCGCATCGCTCAACTTTTTGCTTCTAGAAGAACGTGAATCTGGGTATCATGTCGATCATGCCACCCCGAGACGGCTGATCGGTTGTGATGGATGATCCGCAGATAGCATAGCTAGTGAAGCTCATCGTCGTCTAGCGATTGCGGTGGAGATGGTCCCGTATGAGAGAGACTTCCCATGGATGGACAGCCATCAATGCAACATTATCGGGAGCCTGGCTTCCGTAAACTCTGTAATCTCTGAAAAATGTCTTTGGCCTAGATCAAAGTGCTCGTCGAGCCTCATGAGAGCATCGCCAGAGTTGAGCGGTAAAAGAGGACTGAGAGTCAACAAGGTTTCCAGCAGTGACGGTAGACAGGTGACAAATGTGTTGACACCCCGGCGCATGGGCAAGGGCATGGACTCATGTCAACATCGACCACGTTCAGCCGTTGAACCAAGCGTTGTAGAGCAGAGGCGTTACCCTTTCTCTGATTTGGCTTCGGGATGGAAAACTAAGGCAAGAGCGATAGCACCTACAATTGATGGCGATGTTGATCTGCAACTCAGCGTTTTTGACTCGCTCTGGGTACCTCAAGCTTGAGGTTTGGTACGTCGCAGCCTGCTATACTGCTTTCCCCTCTCGCCCCAACGTCTCCTTCTTCTGTCAATCTCAGACATAGATAGCCATTTGGACAGATACTAGCAAACTCATTGAAGCTTGGTAAATAATACCTGAAAGAGAGTAAGTGTCATTGAGTGCGTGGGCTGAGGGAAGTGCACAATTCCCAAGTGCCCAGGTTTCTTATCCGATGAAGACTCTTATCGATAACGCTATCCTTATCTTTATCGCCCAGTAGGTAGTGGATCTCGGTGATCTCACTAAGGTGAGGTTAGCGATCTGGGCCGCTAACGCTAAGCTGTTGGCGTCTTTGCTGGCTGGGGTCTTATTCTTCGGGGCGGTCGCGGTTCACAAACAACATCTGACTTCACCAGGGAACCTTGAACACGCCTTCGTGTGGTCAAACTCCTCAATTGCTCCTCCCTATTGACCACCCGGCGATTTCTTTAGACCGCAACAATCTCCGTCTGCATTGCGCTCAAAAACGTGAACAGTCGACAGCATCTATAGCTTGGCGGTTAAGCTTTCGAGCTTTGGTCTTCCCGAGCACCTTCTGAGACGCGTCTGTTCATGTCAAGCTTGGGCCTCGACAGTCGCCTCGCCACAACCTCGAAGTCACGTTTTTCTCGAGTTCGCGACTCGACGCGGTTCTGCCAATTGGACATTTGGAGGCTACAGTGAACACGGCAACTCCATTCTTCGACCTACGCCGCCGACATCGAGACTCGACGAGCAGGTCCCGGTACCGCGAACCCTGGTCTGGCACCTCCGGCCCACCGCGTCTGCACCGCTACCAACCCCTTCCATCACCGCGTCGCCAGAGACTACGATCCCAAAGAAGACTGCACAGCTGTCCACCACGTTCAAAGTCCGGAAGCTGGAGAAGATATAGCATTTGTGTCTCTCCCGACGAACTCTTGAGAAGTCCAATCGACTGGTAGCTCTGCCCTCCTCAGCTGAGCCGAGTTAAGCAAGGGCTTGTAGGTCCAGACGCCACTATACGTCTGAGGCGCTAGACATCTGGACTTCACAGCAAGCGAATCTCTACAGCCGGTATCCGAAATTCAAGTCGTTCTATCTCTCGCGCCGAATATATGTTGGCGGAGTCTGGCGCCCGAGTCGCATTATTGTCAGACGCGCCTCGGCCATCAGCATCATAATAGCAGTGTCGAACTCCACTCCAGAAAGTCCAATGTGCCAACTCTAGGACGCCTTCAGTATGCCTACCACCCAGGTCACCCCGACAGAGGATGTTCTTCTGCAAGGGATCGCCGACTCTCTTTTCAAAGCACGAAAGGTTGTGGTCATTACTGGCGCAGGCATCAGTACCAATTCGGGCATTCCTGTAAGAACCCACGCCGGAATGGCTCCTCAACCCATGCTAATAAGTAATGCTTAGGACTTCCGAAGCGAAAATGGGCTTTACTCCCTGATTCAAGCCCAGTTCGATGCCGCGAATCGTGTGGACGTGGTCGAGCCGAGGAGTTTTGGACCAGCTGATGCCGGTCGCGAGGAACGGGAACCGCCTGCGAAACGGAGGAGACTTTCGTTCGAGGATTCCGGCATTTGCCTAAGCGACGACTCGCAAAACGCAACCCAAGTTCAGGGAAGCAATCATGCATCCGCTTCGCAGGGCTCCGACTCAAATACGGCGAGGTTTACTGGGCCCATCACTAGGGCGAGGTCGAGGGAATCAACCGTCGATGCTAGGAGTACTAGTACCGATGATGCACCCGTTTCGGGTGGCAGGTCTACCTTAAGCGGATCTTCAAGAAAGAGCGCAAGAGCTCAGTCTTCGCCCCCAGACGAAAGCCCTAGGAAAGACCTGGCCGCCAGCAGACACCTAGGCTCGGTGGAAGCACACCAAAAGCCCAGCGACAGAGCTGCCCGCAGCTATCTTCGGAGGAGGGGACGATCTGCAAGCCCGTGTGCCCAGCGAGCCAACGCTTATCAGGCGAGCTCTGCTGAGATGCGCAAGAGGTCTCTGTTGACTTCTACCATTGCCTCCGTGCAGGGTTCGGGGAGCATCGAAGCCGTCAGTTCGACTTCAATTCCGACTCTGCCGAGGGCGACGTTCTCCAAGGATAGCGAGCAGCTGGAGGAGAGGAATACGATTCACGTTACGCCAAAAACCTCGAGGTTCTTCTTTAGCTCCTCGCCTCTGTCATCGCCACCTAGTGCATTTCCGCAAACGCCTAGTTTCTTAAGAGACGCGAGCCGCTTCACACGATCAACTCTACGACAGCAACCAATGGGTTTCAGTTCCTCGCCATTGTCGTCGCCTCCGCCAGTTTTGTTCGACCCCTTTGAAGAGCCTTCATCGTCAACTAGTCGGCAGACATCGAGTGCGGCTAGCAGCACCGCATCTTCTGAGACCGATGAAACGCTTCCGTCCTCACAGCCTAGCAAGTCGACTTTGCCCAACATCAAAGGCAGGGATCTATTTGATGCCTCTATATGGGCGGATCCCTTGAGGACATCAGTATTTTACACGTTCGCTACGACGCTTCGAGAGAAGGTGAAAGACGTCGTGCCAACGGAATCTCATCACTTTATTGGCCATTTACGCAATCGGGGGAAATTGGTCCGATGCTATACGCAAAACATCGACCAGATTGAGGAGAAGGTTGGGCTTTCCACCTCGCTCCAGGACGGACCGGGGCATCGGGGTCGCTTCTCGAGGAAATCTGTCGGGGCTGTCTTGGCTACGGCGGCAACGGGAGGCTCCGCAGAGTCTATCTCCGCAACATCAGAAACGAGTGATTCGAAAGATTTGGAGGAACCAAAAGTGCCCGATGGGGTCGGAGTCGCGGATTCGGCTGAAGTGACTCCGTCGGCCGAGCCACAGGTCCAGCAACAGGCTGACAAGAAGTCCAATGGCGTGGAATGCGTTTTCTTGCACGGGTCACTAGAGTCTCTTCGGTGTTTTCTCTGCGGCAAGATTTGCGACTGGGATGAAGCCGACAGATCACACGAGACACTCTCTGGGCGACAGCCTGAATGCCCGTATTGTGCCGGAGCAACGGCAGCACGGCAAGAGAGGGGCAAGAGAGCGTTAGGCGTGGGCAAGCTGAGACCAGATATCGTTCTCTACGGCGAAGAGCACCCGAACGCCCACCTCATTTCACCAATCGTCACCCATGACTTGGGATTGTCCCCGGACCTGCTTCTCATTCTCGGCACGTCACTGAAAGTCCATGGCCTGAAGATCCTTGTCAGGGAGTTCGCCAAGACCATTCACAGCAGGGGCGGCAAAGTCGTCTTTGTCAACTTTACGAAGCCTCCGGAGAGTTCGTGGGGGGATATCATCGACTACTGGGTACAGTGGGACTGCGATGCATGGGTTGCCAACCTGAAGGAGAGAGTGCCCTTGCTTTGGCTGCCGCCCGGCACCAAATTACCAAAGAAAAAGAAGGAGAGCAGTGAAAAGACGAAGAAACGTCAGAGCTCTACAGAAGAGAAGCCGAAGGTGGATGCTGCGAAACCATCAGCAAAGCCACAAGCGAAATCGTCTACCGATTCAGCCCCAGGTTTGCCGGCAGAGTTGTCGCACGACTCTCGATCAGTGACGACAGCGAGGCCAGAGAAGGCTTGTAAA